CTAATTTTTTGATTTGTCATAGAGACGGGGTTTTGCCATGTTACCCATGCTGAGGGGTTTCCTTCTGATGAGATGAAAATATTCTGGAATTAGGTAGAGGAGATGGCTGTACAGCACTATGAATGTACTAAAAATTAACTGTACACATTAAAATGGAAGAAATGGTGACTTTTATCTTATACAAATTTTATTTTGATTTTTGTTTTTTTTGGTCTGACATTACCATAGGCTTGCCAGTCAATATTTTGATTTTTTCAAAAGGACAATGATGAGTTGAAACGTTTAAGGACCTATCAGTAGAGATGGTAAGAAGACAGCGCATGGGCGGGCGCGGTGGCTCACGCCTGTAATCCTAGCACTATGGGAGGCCGAGGTGAGTGGATCACCTGCGGTCAGGAGTTCAAGACCAGCCTGGCCATCATGGTGAAACCCCATCTTCAAAAAAAAAAAAAAGAAGAAGAAGAAGACAGCGCAGAAGAGGGCAGGGCTGAGACTCGGGGCAGACAGAGCATCCTCCCCCCAGCCTCCTGCTGTCTGCGGGGCACCTGGAGCCCTGAGGCCTCGCTCCTGCCTGACCACCTGCCTGCTGGCTCCTCACCATCTGGCTTCTGGGGCTTCTTCAGCTCCCACTGCCCCCCAGAGTGAAGGCTGCTCGTCCACACTCACCTGGCCTCGGTGACGTCAGCAACGTTTCCCCTGCACACCCTCTCCAGCTGCAGGGAGAATGAGCAGTTGACCCGGCTCCACTCGGGGTCACAGACGGCCAGGAAGTTGGGGTGCAGGCGGCCGATAGTGTACTTGGCCAGGTCCATCAGACACTGGCTCATGGCCGCCCCAAACAGGAAGGTCCCCAGCACCTTGTACAGGGCAGCCACGTAGTTGTTGAAGTCGGAGCGGGAATAGAGCTGGTCTGTGTGCACCAGGTAGGCTTCTCCCACCGAGACCTGTGCATGGGGCAGCCGCAGCGAACAGCGGGGGTCCCGGTCAGCCCGTGGGTCCTCACTGGGCCTCAGTCCACCCCACAGGCCTCCCCAAGGCTGCTGCAGAGCTGGGGACTCTAAAAGGGCCCTAG